ACTAGATTTTTACATACACTATAAAACCCAACAGTTAACTTTATCAAATGAAATGAGTGTAGTTAACTCAGTGTTGAAGGAAATGAGAGTTAATTAAATACCTCATACTTCAACTTAAATGGAGTAAGTTCACAGTACTCATGGCTCACACTACTCATTTTTTCACTCAAATTGTTTGTTCAAACAAGTTTGCGTAGATCTTTGAAAAATTGATTATGTGGCGACGCGGTAGCGCAGTAGTGCTGTCACCTCACAGCTAGCAAGTTGCTGGTTCGAGCCTCGGCTAGGTCAATTGGCGTTTCTGTGTGGAGTTTGCATGTTCTCCCCGCGTTCGAGTGGGTTTCCTCTGGGTGCTCCAGTGTCCCACACAGTCCAAAGACATGCACTATAAGTGAATTGAGTAGGCTAAAATGTCCGTAGTGTATGAGTGTAAACGAGTATGGAGGAGACGTAAGTATTTTACGTTTTGTCAGTTTAGTGGCTAATTTGTACGAATTCTTACGAGTTCAGTCGTACGAAAATGTACGATTTTAAAAGGGAGGCGTGGCACCAAACCCCACCCCTAACCCCTACTGTCATTGGGGGATGAGCAAATCATAATAACTTGTATGAATTAGATCGTACGAATTCATACAAATTAGCCTCTAAATCAAAAAGTTACGACTTGCCATGAGATTGCGTTGATGTTTCCATGTTTTGGGTTGCAGCTGGTAGGGCATCCGCTGCGAAAAACATATGCTGGATAAGTTGGCGGTTCATTCCACTGTGGCGACCCCTGGTTAATAAAAGGACTAAGCCGAAAAGAAAATTAATGAATGAATTATACATATTTGTGCCACATTGTACAGTATAACATTTATACTGTACATGATGTTGCTGATGCAAGTTGCTTTGTACTTTGTTATTTGGCATTTTTAAGTCGTTGTGTGGCGTTTTCTGCTTTTCATATCCACATATTTTATTATTGAGTTGATAAATTAGCAAATTTGCAGCTAAAAGACAATACATATGATAATGTCATGATGTTTTAAAGTAAAGTTTTGGCATCAACATACTTTTTTAAACCTTGAATTTAACAAAAACTATTTTAATTTGTAGCATTAAGTAAAAAATGTTATGAAAGTAATATGACTTAGATTACGTGTGCCATAAAAGCCACTCCTCATTCCAGGACGCTGTAATGTTGCTTGTTTATACAAGGCGGCTTGTTGAAGACCACAGTCACGTCTCTCGGACTGTCTGTCACCATGCAGCCGCTGCAGGAGAACGAGCTGCTGCTGCAATCAAACCCGCTGCCGAAAACACAGCACTCCGGCATCCCCGCGCCAGTGGATATGGACAATATTCCTCTATGGATCAAACAGTTAACACCTCAGTTCAGATTCTCTATCATGCGCCTCTGAATATCCATATTTTGCTCGGTCTCGATAAACGGGGGGGGATCTGTTGAGCACCTATGCAGATCTTCACTGCTGAAAACATGAGCACATCTGCAGGGGAAGCCGATTAATCTACTCAACTTCAATTAAAGCCTGCGTTATTGAAAGGCGGAGACCTCTTGCTCACTATTTCTTCCCGGCACAACTCCCTCTCTCTCTCTTCTTTTTCTCTCTCTCTCTCTCTCTTACATGAGGACAATATTTAATTATTTCCTCAGCCGCGGTGTGTTAACAGGTGCTCGTTTTTTCTGAATCAGCCCATGGCTTAGTGAAGCTTTGGATCATGGCACAATGGCTTGCGTTTTCCCCACTCAAAAACGCGCAACATACAGCCGTCGTTTTCTAGAAGAGACAGCTTTTTGTCCCCGGAGAGGAGAGGAGCTGCTGTCCGGGATCTGCTGCACCATGTCGGGGCACAACAGCCGACGCTGAATGAAGGTTTCAAACCAAGTGATTTGACTAAATAATAGTGATAGAAAATGTTCAGTGCTAGTGGAGACAACGGTGGACTTCTGAAATGACCACTACGCAGTCCGTCATGGAGTATTGATTTTATTCTTGCTCCGTGACAATGCTTTGAGCACGCAGGACTTCATATAGGCTATACAACGTATGGTCGTTTTTTCATCTGGGACGCGTCGCCACAACAAAACGCCAAACTGGCTACAGCCGCAGCGATCGCCAGCTCCCTCATTCGGCAGAAGAGGCAGGCGAGGGAGCGGGAGAAAGCCAATGCCAACCGATGCGCCAGCAGCCCCAACAAGAGCATAGGGAACTGCGAGAAGCCCAGCAGGCTCAACTTGTTTTCACGCGTCAAACTCTTCGGCTCTAAAAAGCGCAAGAGAAGGCGACCAGGTCTGATGTTTATGTGTGTCCTTTATTTTTTCTCGCTTTCAGACTTTTACCCATGTTCATCAATCATCATCATCATCATCATCATCATAGCTGACTGTATTCAGAAAAAGTGACTACACTTTTAACTCCTCCGGGTCTGAGCTGCGCAGAGTGTAAGGATTTCACAGCTCACTGCTTTTGAGCACTGCTTTCTCTCTGAGCTATAGAGCTGATGTTGCAATATCACCAATGCACACAGCTCATCACTTGTTCTACACTACATATCATGCAGTCCATACGCAGTCTGAAGCACGGGTCTGTGGTTTCATTTGCTGGTTTTCTCATGCTAGTATTGAACATTTGTTGTTGACATGATCACTGGTTGATCTTTCGAAATATTTAGCGTTTTATATACTTTTCATTGAGGAATTTATAACAAGTGTGGTTCTTGTTTCTGAATTAATGTAGTGGGTTTATATCTGGTTGGTGCACTGACTGCACTCTTAAGGGGATTTTGGAGGGATATCATAGAACAACCATTTTTAGTCCATCAACAGTTTTTTTTTCTTAGTATGAAGTACACTAAAAAAATAGTTTTTACCAGTGTTGAATGTCTTGTGCTGTGGAAAAGGGAGTGTTTTTACAACCTTAAAAATTAAGCCTCCAAAGTGGTGTTTTTGCAGTGATGCCATACTATATTTTGGTTCCTAACAGAAACTTTCAATAATCACTTCTTTAAAGAAGCACTTTTTCCTTGATATGAACTTTTATTCCCATTAAAGAACTCTTTTAAAAGATTTTTTGTAATGGACAGTTTACATACAGCGCTCAGCATAATTGAGTACACCCCATTTTGAAAATGAATATTTTTATCTATTTCTCAGTGAATATAGGCAATGTATTTTGATGCATTTAAACAAAACAGGTTTATTAAACATATATATTTATTAAATTAATATTTTAGTCACCAAACATATTTAGAAATTGAAAGATAATACAATTAAATTCAAGCTAAATATTGCAAAAAATAAATCAGTAAATACAACCTACAAAATTTCAACTATTTTTTTCTTCTCATGATTTTTCCTCTTTTTAAATTTTGTATTTAATATTTTTCTTTAACATATAAATTTGGATGTTCTAGTTGTTGGAGCGTTACTGTAAGTTGTTTTTGCTAGATAAGCTCCAGATTTGGCTACTGACTAATCTATTGTATATGCACAATTAAAATATTGTATAGCTTCCTATTAAAAACATGATTATAAAGATAGATTTGTAAGGGGTGTACTTATATATACTAAATTAGCATGATAAATATTTTAAGTTCTTCTTGGAACTCCAAAAATCTGTAAGTTGTATTTATTTTTAAGAGTATAAAATCAATTATTTGAGATGCTCCTGCTCAGAGTAAATGTCAAATTCAAGCACTCATGAGTGCAAATAGTACAAACTAAACAAAACACTGTGTATATATATACTACCTGTCAAAAGTTTGGAGTCAGTTTTTTTTTCATGTATTGTTTTTAGGGAAATTATTCTGTTCATCAAGACGTCATTTATTAAATATATCTAAAAAATGTCATTGGTAAATATTTATAAAAAAAAGTAATAACTGCTTTCTTATTGTATAGTTTTAAATGAAATTATTATTCAAGTCATTATTGCTTTTATTAATATTACATTAATAATAATTATATTATTATTATTGATAATAATAACAATAATAATAATTAATATTAGAGTGATTTCTGAAGGATCATGCGATTCTGAAGACTGGAGTAATGAACTTGAAAATTCATCTTTAAATCACTGCAATAAGTTATTAAATTTAATATACACAACTTTTGAACAGTTACTTTATAGTGCAATAACATTTTACAATTTGTACTGTATTTTTGATGAAATAAATGCAGCATAACTGCAACTTATTTTAAAACATTTAACAATCCCTATTGACACCAAACTTTTGACCGGTAGTGTATATTAATAATAGTAAATAAAATCACACTTAGATATTGCTTGATGCTATTAGCAGGTTTAGCATGCTGTCCCGGGAAAGAACCTTGAGCTCGGAGAAAATTGGTAAATAAGCATATAAAGGGAAGAAAAAAGAGGAGATGGGGTGGAAGGGGGGATTCTTCCAAAACAAAGATAATTTAGTAGGGCGAAATCTGTTTATTTAATGTAGGCTTGAATCAATCTGATTGAATTATTGCTGATTTCGAATGAGCCGAGAGCAATCATGGATTTGTAAATCTTCACTTAATACTGATTAAACTTGTTTCAGGAGTCAGGTAAGGTAGAAACCTTTTTGAAGAAACATCTGCTAATAATAAAAACTGTAATGAATTCTTTGTGAATGAGACTTATACAGCATCACCAAATATCAGTATAGCACTGAACAAGTAAAAAAATACTTTGATTTGTGCTTCTAACTCATAAATCCGAAGATCTTTATCTGGAATGAGAATATGACCAAAATGCATGTTACATAATTCAGTTATCTATCACCTCGACACTGAGGCATGCTTGGCAAATGTCCGGGTCCTGCTGGCACCAGCACTCACTATGTTTTCACAATGCACATTTTATGGTTTTCCAACAGTCATTTCCTGGCTCTGTGTTAGATGTTCCCTTCTTTTTCCTCACCCCATTTGTTCTGCTGTTACACCCCCTCCCTTCTCTTTTTTCCCACTCCTCCTAAATTGTGATGTCTCAATTCCACAGAGCCTCAGCTCAAGGGGATAGTCACCAAACTCTACAGTCGACAAGGCTTTCATCTACAACTCCAAGCTGATGGAACCATCGATGGTACAAAGGAGGAAGATAATAGCTTCGGTTCGTTTACTGTGACACATACAGTAACATGTTTAAACACGACAGATCCTACACGCTTCTTTCCCTTGGGCTCAACTGTGTTTTCTGTTGTACTGTAACTTCACAGCTATTTTCAACCTCATCCCCGTCGGGCTACGAGTGGTGGCTATTCAGGGCGTCCAGACCAAACTCTACCTGGCCATGAACAATGAAGGCTACCTGTACACCTCTGTAAGTACGACCGTCTCTTCACAGCGCATCTTTGCGAGTCCCTCCTACACACCGTGGGCTCTTCAGAGATCAGGGCAGTAGTAAACATCCCACATTTGGTCTCTGCCGCTCTGATTGTAGTTAAATCTATGCTTTAGACAGCACCGTGGATGCCTGAGGATCCGAGCTGTTAACTTAAAGGTTGTGTGTTGGATTCTAGACAGCCTGCGATCGATGGACTGAAGAGTTAATGAGATCCAACTCCTGCCCAAACACCATCTGCCTCCCTTATTTATCGCGGCATTGTATCGTGCTCGCATTCGAAGATGAGATAATGGCATATTTAGACATGCCTATTAGCACCTCGCTTTCACACAAAGATAATTCACACTTCATGTAATTGTTCTGTGTTTGGACTATCTATAGAGCGCTCTTGGGAGATGATGCATAATCATACGCAAGGTTTTAACGCCCAATATCTGCAGTTTTAAATATGGAGAAATCACAATAATGCTCTAATGGATATCCTTCTTTTTTTTTGCTAGCGCCTCCCTCACCTCTTTCGTTTGATTAAATGTGCTGTGGTGAGATGAATAATTTAGTACCTTGCCAATAAGTGCTTCTGTCAATTCAAAATGGACATTTTGAGCAACACTGCTGGCATTAGTACGCTAAAGATTTGCTGTGGCGCTTGAAACTCTTGGCAGGGTCTGTGCTTCATAACGCAGGATCCGTTTCAACTGTACCTTTGCGCTTCAACTGTGTGTGGGTTCACGTGTGACCGTCTGCCCATAGGAATACTCAAACTAACACCTATGGTCGTGCTGGTATACACGTATCTCCTTGTTGATTTCGAGAGGTTGTTTTCCCCAGGATGAATGTATTGATTCGCTGGAATGAGTCAAAGTGTTGGGGGCCTCAGGAGTTTAATGGTAATCAATCGGCAGCGCATACTGGATGGGACAACGTGCTACCATGTTTAGACCACTTATTACGATTCCAATCAGAGGAATTTACCATCTAGGTTTAGAGGCAACTCGAGATGAGGTGATGTGCGGATATTGATGGAGGCTTAGATAGGGCATCTCAACTCGATTTTCTTTTATCGTCGCAAAAGCTTGCACACATTTTTTTATGTCATGTTTCTGGGTTAACATCTATGTTGATCCTGGAGCAACATTCCAATTGGCCAATCAGATTTGAGGGATAAGTTTAGAGTTTATGGTAAGTTTAGGGTTATAGTTAGGGTTATGTGCTTGTAGTGTACATCAGGGGTCTTCAATCTTTTTCGTAGCATGGACTGGTGTTATTATTAATAATTTTTTGCAGAATGGTGTTAGGCGTTGTAATTTGGTTGGTTTCTAAGTGAAATTACTAAGGATGTCCTAGAGGTGACCTCGAGTTCAAGTCAGAGTCATTTGATTTTGAGTGTCTACAAATACCCAATCTGATTCTACTATAATACATAAAAAATTATATAGAAGAGCGAAGAAACAGATTCAGGATGTTCCTTATTTTTTATTTAATTCACCTTATATTTTAACATTCAACAACTCTGTTAACAAACTGCGAGGTAGCTTGAATAATCAAGTCATAAATAACATAAATTCTTCACTTTTGGACTTTAGTACAACAGTAAATATAAATATATAAAAAAAACTAATATAAAAACAAAGAGGACCTCAACCTTAAAATACCTGGCAGGCAATCCCAAATTTACATTTCTCACAGTTTGCTATGGCAATGTTGTCATCATCAACTTTATAATACCTCCAGACCGCAGACATACTCGAGCTTGCTGCTTCAAGCCTCTTTCAGCTTCTACTTTGCTGGATTTAAACAAAAGCGTCTTAGCAACAAAGTGATGTCATGCCGCATGTGTTGCTGTGTCTGTGTCAAGTCAAGTCAAGAAAGAGGTCTAACTCTGTGCCACCACATAACTATAAATGGGTTAAAAATAATGATATATATATATACATACACACACACACAGTTGAAGTCAGAATTATTGGCCCCCCTGAATTATTAGCCCCCCTGTTTATTTTTTTCCCCCCAATTTCTGTTTAATGGAGAGAAGATTTGTTAAACACATTGCTAAACATAATAGTTTTAATAACTCATTTCTAATAGCTGATTCTTTTATCTTTGCCATGATGACAGTACATAGTATTTTACTGGATATTTTTCAAGACACTTCTATACAGCTTAAAGTGACATTTAAAGGCTTAACTCAGTTCATTGGGTTAACTAGGCAGGTTAGGGTAATTAGGCAAGTTATTGTATAACGATGGTTTGTTCTGTAGACTATCGAAAAAATATGTAGAGGCTAATAATTTTAACCTTAAAATGATTTAAAAATATTAAAAACTGCTTTTATTCTAGCCGAAATACAACAAAAAAGACTTTCTCCAGAAGAAAAAATATTATCAGACAACTGAAAATGTTCTTGCTCTGTTAAACATAATTTGGGAAATATATATTAAAAAAATAATAAATAAAAAGGGGGGGCTAATAATTCTGCCTTCAAGTCCTGATCAGGAGGTAACGTCCGATTCCGATCAAGTCTAAAACCGTGTGATTTGAGCCCGATTTCAGATCAGCTGATCGGATCTGGACAACCCCTGAAATTACATTAATTCATTCATTTTCTTTTCGGCTTAGTCCCTTTACTAATCTGGGGTCGCCACAGCGGAGTGAACAGTCAACTTATCCGGCACGTTTTTACACAGCGGATGCCCTTCCAGCCGCAACTCATCACTGGGAAACACTCACAATCACTCATTCACACACACACTCATACACTACGGACAACTTAGCTTACCTAATTCACCTATAGTGCATGTCTTTGGACTGTGGGGGAAGCCATAGCACCCGGAGGAAATCCATGCAAACGCAGGGAGAACATGCAAACTCCACACAGAAACGCAGTTGAGGCTTGAACCAGCGACCTTCTTGCTGTGAGGTGACAGTACTACCTACTGCCCCACTCCATCGCTAGAAATTACATCTACATCTACAAATGCATGCAATAGAAAAACGAATACAACTCACCATGACAGAAAAATAACTGAAGCTTATAAAGACGGCCGCCGCAGCTGCAGCATTGTAAATACATTGCTAAGAAATGCAAATAAATCCCAATTGTTGTCTAGTGTTTGTACCTGGGTGGTACCCTCGTAGAAAACTTTAAGAAATGTTTAGAACTCTGGCAGTGGAGTGGCATGGCGCTTATGATGTCTGGTCTGCAATGGGCATAGATATGAATATTGGTTCTTAAAGGGGTAACTCACAATAAAGTGGGACATTATATAGAGTAATTTAGGGGTAGGGATTTTATTTTCGATCAGAAATTATGGTCCAGGATCAACATAGATGTTAAATAAGGATCGCATCCTACTTTACAATAACACACCTGCCTTTTTTACTATCCCTCTCTCAAGGAAGTACATGTTTAACTGCTATAAATGATATTAATAAGTCAACTAATATTAACTCAGCATTATCAATTTGGATGTGTCACATCTTTTGTTTTGTCTGTCACTTTAGAGAATTGATTCGTCCCATAAATGAAAATTTGCTGTTAATTTACTCTCAGGCAATCCTATGTGTAAGAGAGTTTAATTTTTTTGTTTATTTATTACAACTTTAAAGAAAATCTTTAACTGAAATTGTGGTCCTTGGTGATTCATTAAATGTGAATCAATGGCTTCTGGCACATTGAAAGTCCAAAAAGATAAACAGGCAAAATAAAATTAATACCCGTGACTCCTGATGATATATTGAGGTCATATGAAGTGAAACGATCAGTTTGTTCATGAAATTGATTTGAATGTTATTTATTTACAACATTACAACCTCGAATCCACAGCCTCAGGAGACAGTCCTGGGTGCTTCATGACAGTCTGGTGAAGGAATCTGCATATTGATGCCCTAGAATCATTTTCTAACATCATTTTCTTTTCTAGCAGATGACCGATAAAAACTTTAATAGAAAATAAGAATTCATTCTGCTTTAAGGAGCTTAAACATTTAAAGAGACAGAGAACAAAACTGCAACCTGATATCTATACAAAATTGAAGTCAATGCAAATACAGTTATCTTTATAGTTATGTTTAAAAGGGCAATTAGTCTGTACTGGAAATGAAATATTTCTTTTTTTCATCTGACACATACTTAAAGGTAGTCTTTGATATTATTAGTGATTTAAAATAATAATTACAGTATATAATCATAATCAGAGGGGAAAACTACTGCATATATAATGTTGTGATGCATAAATTCAAAGTGATATTCTGTTTTTAGATTTTACTTTGTTCAAACAATATGGATTAAAATGTCCATGTGAAATCAGAATTTACAGTCTTAGGTCAACAATTAATCACTTCGGTCTCTTCGATCATACACGGACCCTATCATATAGACATCCAGTGCAATAAGGCGCAAGACGTGAATGACCTGATTTTTTGATAGTTTCAGACCAGTCCAACATTAGTTTTTACATTTTACACCACTTTGTTTAAATAGCAAATCCATTTGCGCCACTTTGTGGTCTCATGGGTGTGCTGGTCTATAAAGGAGGTGTGTTAAGGTGCATTGTTGGCCTGTTGCTATTTTGAGGAAGTGAAATAGATCCCACCATCGACCAACTGAAAGCTGGTCTAAAGTACGTTAGTTGTGCACCGATGCGAGTCCAAACACTTACACATTGCTTAATACACACAGGATGTACAGAAATACAGAAATATCTTTACAATAGGAAAAAATTAAAGAATTAAAATGTTACAAAAATTATTATTTTCCATGTAAATATAAAAACCTCTACCTCCATGCCTTCATTTCGGGGGGGCTTTTTTTAGTTTATTCATGACAGTTTGCTTTCGTATAATGTTATTATTAGTATTAGTATTATTTATTATATGCGTATTTATATTTGTTTAAATAAAAACAAGCTTAGATTTGTTCACCTGTTGAATTTTGGACCATATGGGGCATAGGACATGTGTTTGGATATAACTCAGTTTTCTTTTTTTTTTTTTTTTTTTACCTCACTTCATTATTATTGTTCATTTATTTGTTTGCTGGAAATTAGAACTGAATTTAGAAATAGTTTTGAAACAAATCTTTGCGCTTAACAAACAAAATTAATTATGTATAGGCTAATGGATGTCCTCAGTGGAGTGAGTTTCCACCATTTAGTTATTCACAAAAGTAAAGGAGTAAAGTAAAGGAGTAAAGTAAATAGTAAAAGTAAAGAGAAAGTGAAGAGGCTGAATGGAGGAGGCTCATTTTTTATCCTCGCACTGCAGATGGTCTGTTTAACTGTTTTCTTGCTAGTGAAGCATCCAGTTTTTACACTTACAAATCATGTAAATAGCAAATGCTTCATGGCGCAACACAACTAACTTTTAAAGGTAATGGGAGTTGAGACTCTGATTGGTTTAATGCATGTTATGCTCAAAACACACCCATAAGTCATGAAGAGAACAAGCACAACCCTGTTAGACCATACGCCGTGGCACAAACCATATTTTTCCGTCCTTAAAATAGCAAAAGTGGATTCGGACATGCCCCTAATGGTTTTGCGCTTTAGTCTTTGGCCCTTCTTCCGAGGGGTGTCGTGGACGAAAGTGAGCAGGGCGGGGGTATCACGGGCGAAAGTGAAGAGGGTTGGGGAGTCGCGGAAGACAGTGAAAGTGTACAGCAGATGGGGAAGGAGGATGGTTGAGGAGGGGGATCGGTAAAATGAGATGCCGGATCAGATTTCAGAGGTGCCAGATCCGGACAGGCGAGTTTCGGCACAAATTAAGCCCTGCTGTTGGAAGTATATCAGCATACTAAAATAAAAGCTTCAGCAACTTTAAGTTCACAAAGACTATCAAACTATTTATCCTATTGGTTGTTTTTAATTTTTACTTTATTTAGACAGCATGCATTAGAATGTTGATACCAAACTATGACAACAGATATTTGCATTAAACAGAATCTTACCATCAATATTAGCCTGAACTATCTTCATTTTGTCTGCTCTCACTTTCTTCATCTCCCTCGCACACACACTTTTTTTTCTCAGTTATGCAGATACTCCTCCACAAACACATCAGAATATTGCTCTTCCCCTCATTCTCCCAGTCTCTAATGTTTCTGTTGTCTTCTCTGCCCATTTCACTCTCACAGGAGCACTTCACGCCGGAGTGCAAATTTAAAGAGTCGGTGTTTGAGAACTATTACGTGACCTACTCGTCAATGATCTACAGACAACAGCAGTCGGGCCGAGGCTGGTACCTGGGTCTCAACAAAGAGGGTCAAATCATGAAGGGCAACCATGTAAAGAAGACCAAGCCGGCTGCTCACTTCATCCCCAAACCTCTTAAAGGTTTGTTCAAGTGTCTCCTGTTTTGATCGTCAGACTGATGGCTTTCTAAAAATAATATGTTTGAGACTGGGGGAGATATTGGTTGACAAGAAATTTAGTCGCTTGTTGGCTTTCCAGCACGTTTTTGCTGTTGTTTCATGTTATGAATAGAAATGTGGGTATCACTTTATTTTGATGGTCCCATCAAATGCATTTTATTAAATTTTTACTTACATTGCATCTACATGCCAACTAATTCTCAATAGATTCTAAGTAGACTGTTAGGTTGGGGTTAGGGTTAGTGTAGTTTGACATGTACTTGCATGTAAGTATTTTATAGTCAGTTAAATGTTGAAGGAGCAATATCAGGAGCAATATCAGCAGATATTAAGCAGACAGTCTACTAATACTCCAATGAGAGGTAGTTGGCATGTAGTTGCAATGCACCTTTTAGTCTACAAAATGTGCAATAGGAACCATCAAAATAAAGTGTTACTGAAATGTGCTTCATAAAAGGATGAAAATGGGTAAGGGGTTTTAACTGGTATTATTTTTTGTCGACAGTTTAGCAAGCTTGTCCAGCAGATTATGTAATACATTCATCATATAAGCATTTTAGATTTTTAGTCCGTATTGGGCATTAAAAAAAATTATTACTTAATAGAATCTATATTAGAACTTCAATTTTATTTCCAATTTCATTTGCCGCAAATTTAAAGTAAAACTTTTAAACTTTTAGTGTATTATATAATTATCATAATGGCTACATTGTCCAGTATTCAGTATGTTTTTTCACTTAGACCATATATTGTTTCTGATGTTTATTTCTATGTTATGTTGTTTATATTTTAGTATATGGTTTATTGGTCATAACTTATAAAGCACTTATATTGAGTAATATTTCTATTAAAAAGTTATGTTCATCTGGAATTTATATAGAACTATATAATTTATTAACATTAGTTTATATACATATAAGTTAAGTTAGTGATCATTGATCACTAACTTAACTTAACATTAATCTTTAAAAACATTATTCATTTTAATTTAATTTAATTACTTAAAAAAGAAATGCAATTGTTTTTATACTTTTTTACATAATGTTTGTTAAAGGGCACCTATGATGAAAATCATCTTTTGTAAGCTTTTTGAAAGCACAGTCATATTGAAGTGATAAAAAAACAATAAAGTTTATTTTTTTTAAATTTCCTGACGTAAAATAGGATCCAAATCTCCATTTTGAGGCCGACTGCAACGTGATGTAGAAGTGCGGTTTACCCGCCCACTGAATTGATTGACAGACGCATATTAACAAGTCTCTATAGTAACGCGTATAATCATATCAACAAGACAGGACGTGCAAAAAGCAACCGGGATCTGTTCAGCTCTCTGTGATCATCAGTCATCATCAAATGTGATCAAGAATGAGTTTTACAAGTTTTACAATGTTTTTCAAATAGTGCATGCTTGTAAGAAATACAGTAAAATCGCTTCGTAATTCAACACCACAGCCACTTAGTTTAGTTAAGAAGTTTAGTTAAAAAGTTTAGTTAAGAAGTTTAGTTAAAAAGTTTAGTTAAACTAAGTCTCCTACTTAGTTTAGTTAAAAAGTTAAACTAAGTCTCCTACTTAGTTTAGTTAAAAAGTCTCCTACTTAGTTTAGTTAAAAAGAAGACGCTTCAATCCTGGTTTGTGGACTTAAATTAGGTTTATTTTGTACATTAACAGAACGGATGTTCATACAGCAGTGTATCCTGTCACATTTACCGTGCAAAAACAGTGCAAAGCTAAACGTGTGTGCGCGTGCATGTATGCGCACAAACTTTATAACGACATTGTGTGTGATTCATTGTTGCAGAAAGGCTTGAATTAACTCCACAACAAATATATCAAACAACAGTTGGGAAAGTTCCTACTGTAGTAAGGGAGATCTGCTTTATTCTTGTCTGTCACTGTGCTGTTTATCTACGTGAAGGCTACGGCTCTGACACGCACGTAGTAAAGCTGGACGAGGAGAACTAGCTCAGATGCATTAAAGGCACTTGCAATAAAAACTGCTACAAAGTTTTAACAGTCTCAAATTTTCCAGATTTAAAAAGCTATAATAAAATAATCTGATGGGTGTTTTAAGCTGAAACTTCACAGACACATTCTGGAGACACAAAAGACATCGCTTAATTCAAAAAAGGGGTAAAACAGGTGCCCTTTAAAGTGAAAAATTGTAAAGATTCTTAAAATTAATACCCATTTTTATACTTTGTGTTTTGACTTCCGAATTTTTGTGCAGCATTAAAATTATTATTATTATTATTATTTTTATTTTTAAAATACTAAACACATACTAAATACCGTCCATAACAGGAAAACAGTTGTCTGCGTTTATCAAAATCTTAACACCAGCCCATCAATATTTCTTATAGAATCACTCTACTATTGACCTAAAATAGAAAATAAAATAAAAAATATATAGTATAGTATATTGCGCCCTTTCTAGTAATGTGGTTTTCCTCTTGAAATTAAATTGGTGCCTTCTTTCTCAGAACTGGTGAAATCAGAGGGGAAATCAAAAAGTGCAGCTGCTTGTGTGCAGTCAGAAGTGAACCTGAGATGGCTAGACATTAGTCATGGGAGCTCCATGCAACTGGATTTCAAACCAACTTATGTTAAATTAGTTCATCATACTATTGTTTGTCTGAAATAAGGTGTTTTTTAATGTAGAGTTCAGACAAACTACAGCTGGAAGTCAGTTCAATTTTACTTAAGAGATGAATGGAGTCCTGGTAATATATGCGTACGTGGAATTTCAAATCTAGTTTGAGCTTCAGCTGCATTTATTCTCCTAAAATATGGCAGCTTTTACAGCTCCACTATATGCTACCATCTGACTGCATGACAAGTGTTGCAAGCAAAATATGTTTTATGTAAAAAATATACTCTAATGTGAATTATTCAGCACGCTAATTTTACATTAGTGAAAAAGGGTAACGGCTACTTCATGACTAGTTCAGTGTGAAAAAACCTGTAAAATCACTGGTGAATCAAACAAGATGAGATTGTGCGCTAATGAGTCTTTTAAGGCGGTTCCTCGAATAGTGCCATATGTATTACTTTATAATAAGGTTTGTTGATATTGGCTAGATCAGATAGCATTAAAACATACTTCTCAAGGATTATTTAATTTTAATTATAAGTTGTCATCTAGACAGATTTTCTTAACTAAAAGAAAACAAACATGTTTAATATGTTAGGGTAAAAAAAAAACCCAGAGTCTACTTCAGAACAATGAAGTGCGTAGAGCAAAACAATCCCAAAGAATAAAGTAACTTAAAAACTCATAGCTCTGTTAGCTTGGCACAGACAATGGTCAACATGCGACTCAAACGTTTGCCTTTTTTTCCAGTAATTTTCTTATCACTCATTGCTTGTGTAATTTTAATATGATTAGTCAACCTCAATGTCCAACAAAGTCTAGGACATTTTTTTTCTTGTGTTGTGAATTGTAAATTTGGTTTAGATGGGCCTATAACTCATGTTATGTAAACCTAGGTTTAGAATTCAAAAATGTTGAAAAGCCAACTGAGGAGCACAGTGAGTTTTATGTATACTGTTCTCACTAATGATGATTCTTACTCACATTTATTGAGTCTTCATTGTTTTAGGCTCTGTATATGGAATGGAATAGATGTGTAAATGTGCTCATGCGTTTTATGATGGCACTTTTTCACATTTATGCTGTTCAGGTCCTCCTGGGAAGTCGTTATGTTATAAAATAGTCTATAAAATTATCAATAAATAAATTTATATCACTGTATATTTAGCTTTTTCAGCTTACAATGCATCTAGAAAGTATTCATATCGCTTCACTTGTTCCACAATTTTTTATGTTAGAGCCTTATTCCAAAATGGATTCAATTCATTGATTTCCTCAACATTCTACACACAATAGCCCATAATGACAATGTGAAAAAAAAGATTTTTGGAAATTGTTGCAAATTTATTAAAAATAAAACACCTGAAAAATCACATGTACATAAGTATTCACAGCCTTTGCTCAATACTTTGTTGATGCACCTTTGGCAGCAATTACAGCCTCAAGTCTTTTGGAATATGATGCCACAAGCTTGGCACACCTGTCTTTGGGAATTTTTGCCCATTCAACTTTGCAGTACCTCTGAAGCACTATCAGCTTCGATGAGAAGCGACAGTGTACAGCCATTTTCAGATCTCTCCAGAGATGTTCAATAGGATTTAGGTCTGGGCTCTGGCTGGGCCACTCAAGGACATACATCAAGTTATAATGACAATGACAAATTCACATTGTCATTATGGGGTATTGTGTGTATAATTTTGAGGAAACAAATTAATTTAATCCGTTTTGGAACAAAGCTGTAACAAAAAAACATGGAAAAAGTGAAGCGCTATGAATACTATATATATATATATATATATATATATATATATATATGTGATATTATAACTGCACATTTTGTATATGCAACAGACCAATTATAATTTCAACACATTCAGCATCAACACAGACGCTTTGTTAACTGCAGTCTCATCAATAGTATCTGGATGCAACTTACACATGCAAGCTGACACGCACAGCCTCAGACATGCAGTCTCAGACATACTCAATAGAGCTAGTGATATCACTGTGAGGGGTAGGGTTAGGGGCGGGGTTAGCTGCACGTATTACAAGCATTGCATGCTGTCTCAGCTTGCATCTGCACCTGGTCTGCATCCAGACCCTTTTCATCTCATATGCTTTCTGTCAGACCCTAGAGTACTAATTATCGTAATTATGACAATGTGTGGTGGCATTCAAGTGCTTTCAACTCTTGAGCATGTGACGACAGAATTACAAATATTTTAAAATATTTTTTCTTCTTCACACTTAAAAGAATTGAGCTGAAAAGGGACAGTTTACCAAAACTGAAATTACTCTCCCATTGATTGTTTCAAACATTTTATTTAGAAGAATGTTGGAAACCTGTAACCATTGACTTTCATAATATATGTACACCATGGAAGTCAATGCTTATAGGCTTTCAGCTTTCTTCAAAAAAAATATTTTGTGTTCAAGAAACAAGTAAAGGAAGAGAAAACAGTGAAGACATTTTCATCTTTGGGTGAACTGTCCCTTTAAGGAACCGCCTATGATTCCCATCCCTCATTCTCTGTTGACACTAACAGAACTTATTGATCTACTCATAAAAACCCTTGCTTGCAAGAACCTCAGTATGATCCTCACGAGGCCTTTTTTCTCCTTTCTCTCCCTCCTTCAGTTGCCATGTACAGAGAGCCGTCTCTCCACGACCTGACCGAGTTTTCCCGCTCCGGCAGCGGCACGCCGACCAAGAGCCGCAGCGCCTCGGCCATGCTGAACGGCGGCAAGACTCTGAGTCAGAACGAGTCCACATAACCACCGCTGCCGGACTCCAGCGTCAACTCCAACAGCACAAACGCGTTTACAAGAGTGCGGCGAGAAATGTTTCCTGAAATCACTGTGATGAGAACACAAGTGCAAAACCTACATTGTACAATCTGCAGGTCAACCTCGTGAGATCTAATCAAACCAAGCCATCTTACCGATGTAGGGGTCTGCGGTCCCCCGTTCCCATGTGTAGCATATACAAAGCTCCTACTGAAACACCTACTTTGTGTTTTGCTCCATTTCTTCTTAGGGATGCCTGCAGCTCCATAGTGCTGAGTCAACTACAAAATGACAATAGCAGCTTGTGCGACCCATTTATCGGTATATAGAGGCAGAAATCCCAAAGGTTTTTTGGACATATGATACAAGTCCTTCAGCTCAGCTTTTTTTGTTTGAAAGCAGTGGTTCATCGTTGTGTGCTTTTTAGATGAGGCGTTTTGCTTCTCCTTTTTGTCTTTTCAGCTCTTCCCCTCCCCAAACACATTGTTATTCTGCAAATTAAACAGATTTAAGGTTCGGCCTGTCTGCGCACCAAAGATGTCATTAGTCTCTTTGTATGGAGGTAAGTCAATTTGTGTAATTTCAGCTCTCTCAGACAGATAGTTGAGAAAAGCGCGAGAAGCGAATGTCATTTAGTCGGAGGAAATGTATTCGGGAGAGATGAAGGCTACTCGCTGTGCTTTTTTATTTATTTTGAGGTCTGTTTATGTCTTCCTTTACTTCCTGTCTAATTTGGGAACCCAGCATCTTGGAGAAGTGTCAAATCAGACAGTGTTTAAATTATTGATTAACGTCAAGCCGGTAAGATTTCCGTTACGTAAAAACAGGGCAGGCTTCCTCTTTTTTTCATATAATGAAAGCTTCCATTGCTTTAACAGGGCTAAATCAGCATAAGTAAATAACCCGTCTTTGAAAAGTCGTTCATAGTTTCTAGTCTTCGCTGGTCAGGCAAGCAGCCCAGTTTCTAATTTCAGTCAAACGCCTCTTTTGTTTTGTTGTGTGTATGTACTGTATGTATGAAGCATATTTAATGCATGGGGGACAATGGACGCTGCATGTTGTGTGGCTTTGTATATTAACTACAATATGGAACCATGTGCTCTAATGGATACTGGAGTAAAATACAAATGTACTGTATATATATATGCATTTTAACCTGCTACCCGCCCGTTTATTATTTGTTGTACATTTAAAAAGCTGCACTGAATAAAATGTTTTGTATGTTCAGAGCATTCATCGCGTTTAATTATGTTGAGAGACTTGTTTTTGGTACTGTAGCTCTTTTTTATAGCTATATCAATCAACATTTTTTAAAGATTTGAATGAAGGATTTATGTAAAGATATGCAATAAATAAAATAATGTTAAAAATAATTCTGAAAATAATGAAATATAATTCAATTAAAAGGGAAATCAATTGTTAGTTAAAATAATTTTTTAAATAAATAAACAACTTAAAGTCTTTCTATTATGGCTTATAGGCAATAATCTAAAACTAAATTTAATAAAATACGTAAAATTAATATATATTACATTAAATATGAGATGTCCCATTTTAGTGCGTGCATAAAATTACATTTACAAAAGTGATTTAACATCCATAAAGCATATTGCATGGACATTTTAGTGTTTCAAACAGTGTCTGTGAAAGTAAAATATCAAAATATGGTTATAAAAATTGTGTTCTATCCTAATTCACCATGTCATATATTTGCTGTATATAATGTTGAAACAATTCTGACCTTAGGTCAGAGAAGAGGTGATCACGCTTTTATTATATTCAAAAAACTTTATGTCTTAATGTCATGAAATGATCCATGTTCTAAGATGCCTGAATATACTCACTTTATTAGGTACAACTGTCCAACCGCTAGTTAATGCAAATTTCTAATCAGCCAATCTCATGGCAGCAACTCAACGCATTAAGGCATGTAGACATAAACAAGACGATCTGCTGCAGTTCAAACCGAGCATCTGAATGGGGAAGAAAGGTGATTAAAATGACTTTGAACATGGCATGGTTGTTGGTGCCAGATGGGCTGGTGTGAGTATTATAGAAACTGCTGATTTACTGGGACAACCATCTCAAGGGTTTAAAGACAATGAGCCAAAAAAGAGAAAAATATCCAGTAAGCGGCAGTTCTGTGGGCGCAAATTCCTTGTTGATGGCAGAGGTCAGAGGATCAAAGGTTTGAGCTGATAGAAAGGCAACTGTAACTCAAATGACCACTCGTTACAACCGAGGTATGCAGAAGAGCGTCTCTGAACACACAACATGTCCAACCTTGAGGCAGATGAGCTACAGCAGCAGAAGACCACACCGGATGCCACTCCTGTCAGCTAAGAACATGAAACTGAGGCTGCAATTTGCACAGGCTCACCAAAATTGGACAATAGAAGATTGGAAAAACGTCGCCTGATCTGATGAGTCTTGATTTCTGCTGTGACATTCGGATAGTATAGGGTCAGAATTTTGCATTAACAAAATGAAAGCCTTGTATCAGTGATTCAGGCTGGTGGTGGCGGTGTAATGGTGTATGGGATATTTTCTTGGCAAATTTTGGGCCCATTAGTAGCAACTGAGCATTGTGTCAATGCCACAGCCTATATAGTAGGCTACCTGAGTATTGTTGCTGACCATGTCCATCCCTTTATGACCACAGTGTACCCATCTTCTGATGGCTACTTCAAGCTAGATAATGCACCATGTAATTTCAGACTGGTTTCTTGAACATGACAATGAGTTCACTGTACTCAAATGGCCTCCACAGTCACTAAATTCCAATTCAATAGAGCAGGGGTTCCCAACAGGGGGGCCTCAGTGAGCTTTGTGGGAGGTTGCATCATATTTAAAAAAAAAAACATCTTAGCAATGGAAGATTAGGAGAATGATCATGTTGCCTTAGTTCATTTTATTCCCTAGTTCAGTGGGCCTCAACCCACTGTTGATCAGTGGATCAATTGGTACCGGGCCGCACAAGAAATCATTAATTATTTCTGTTTCTGTCTGATTTATTATCGCAGTCTGAACAATCTTTTATTTTAAAAAGTCTCTTATTAAAAAAAAATGACTGTATTCTCTCGCTTACATCTTGGTCACTTTAGCAACCAAATTTAACCCACAAGCAACAAAATGAGTAAGAAACAGATGTCTTTGGAAAGTTTCTTTGCATAGGGGTAAAGGCCAGGTGAACGACCCGCGAACTGCCAAGGAATATCCGCAACCCTTTTGTCAACAAATCAGGTGAATCTACCATGGCTGTGCAAGAAGATCAACAGATGGAGATTGCAAATGACGGCAGCCTTTCAGGGGCCGTTCGGTTATTGTGTATTTCTAGAGTTTACACAAGTTTTTTGTTTCCAATGAAGGTGCATGGCCAATTAACCCCGGGCTGCAAGTGCACCGCGAGTCACGTGACAAGAATTGACCATTCAGCTTCAGCTGGTATGGAACATTCACATTTCGGTAAGACTAATTTTCTTAGACAAACACAGAACAACCAAACACTGCCGTGCTTTGTACTTTTCTCCATAAATAAAACTTGTATCAGAGAGTGACAGCAATGTTTTGTCAGTTTGTCATCCTCTGAGAAAATGGTTGATGGTCGCATAGCAACCTACGAAACACGCCCAACCCCCCGCAGTAAAGATGTCAACCGTTGACCAGTGCATGGTGATAAAAAGGCTGAGGACCACTGCACTAATGTTAGCTGACCAAAAATGGACAAATTTGTAATCTGTCCTCATCAAAAAAAGATAGTCTCACTGATTCGCCTCGTAGCAATCCTCACACTAATTGATAGAGCATAACAAATAACAGGCAGCTATTAAATTGTAATAGCCTAAATTATTTTTTTCCCTTATAAACCAGTGTGAATACTGATTTTTGTTATTGAATTTCAAATAGGGTCAATTTAAAGGCCAAAGGCTCATATTTTTCAGTTACAAATGGCCTACTGATGTTTTGCTTTTATATTTTACATTAGGCTATTATTCATTAATTTTCTTTTCGACTTAGTCCCTTTATTAATCTAGGGGCCGCCACAACGGAATGAACCGCCAACTTATCCAGCACATGTTTTACGCAGCGGATGCCCTTCTAGCTGCAACCCATCTCTGGGAAACAAAGGATTTGTGCATAAACTTATCTAGATATAGTAATAAACATCCCGTTTGTTTGAAAGCAACATTTGTTGTCATCATTACAGCAAACTTATATGAGCGATTATATCATTAATTGTGAAGGGGGGCCTTACAATATTTTCTGGGGAAAAAGTGGGTCTCAGGCAAAAAAGGTTGGGAACCACTGCAATAGAGCACCTTTGAAATGTGGTGGAATGGGAGATCCGTATCATGCATATGCAGCCAACAAATCTGCAGCTATCATGCTATTATATCAGTGTGGACCAAAATCTCTGAGGAATATTTTGAGTACCTTGTTAAATCTATGCCACAAAGGATTTAGGCAGTTCTGAAGGCAAAAGGAGGTCCAACCTGGTACTAGTAAGGTGTACCTAATAAAGTGGCCGGTGAGTGTATATTTAAAGTGCTGAATAACATATTCCTTATCTTAAATACATTCCAATATAGGGAATTTAAAGCATATTAATCAATAAATGCAATTAGAGAATACATGACTCTCACTGGTCCAGCATAAACAAAATATTATCGCCTACATAATTAATAACTTAATTGAATTCAAAACACTTTGACTTACTGCGTTATACTGGGTTATGTTATCAGTAGCTCTGACTGACAGATATAAAGGCAACGGTGGCAAATATCTTTACATAAAAAGTTGCGTTAATTAAATGGTGAAGGTTGTTGTTATGGACCAGTTCGCCAGTGAAGCTCTTTACACCCTTTAAATATGCACACTCTGTGACATTCAGGACCCTTCAGGAACGCAACTCAATGTTCATTGGCACCGCGGTGCATAAACAGCAGTGAATTAATCTGAATTTAAACCATAACTCGTGAATAAACATCAGGTCAGCGAGCAGTGTTTGATTTTTAAGTAGATAGTTCTACCTGTTTTTTTGTTCATGGATTCATATTGATGAAGACGCTGTTGAGCGAAGAAATTGATTTTGTTGTGCTTTGCTTCGCTGGAGTTGAGTGTAATGAAACCTTGATCATGTCTAATGCATAACCTATGGGGAGGCCATTGGAAAACTATCTACTCTTGTTTAATGTACTGTAAATGGCCATTATATAGACCATCCAATTCAACTCTATTTAACTCCAATATGAACGAGCCGTTAAATAATGTGCATAGGGGCATTTTACTAGAAATGCATCAAAAATAAACAAGACGAGGTGGCCTTGCTTGATTGAGATGTTTAAAATGCAATCAAGAATTTGAGAAAGACGTGAAATTACATAACATAGCAATTTACTATTTACTCTTTTTAACTACATGACTATTTTCATTATTTCAACTGTCATATACCAAAGTATTCTGTCTATATACACACAAAAACAAAAACATTGAAACAATTGTGATTTTTTTTTTTTGTGACTCATCCACAACTGATATGGCCATTCCAGTACATAGTATAGTCACTTTAAGAAAACAGGTCCCACTTTATATTAAGTGTCCTTAACTACTATGTACTTACATATAAAAAATAAATACAATGTACTTACTGTGTTTATAATGTATTTGAGAAAACTTGTGGTGCTTTTGAGTTGGAATAGAGGTTGGGTTATGGACAGGTTTGGTGGCATGGGTAGGTTTAAGGGTGGGTTAAGGTGTAAGGGATGGTCAACAGTGTATTTACAAATGTAATAACAAAAGTTAATTACAGATGTAATTACATACATGTATTTAATCAAGCATAAGTACACAGTAAATACATGTATTTACACAATAAATACATTGTAACAAACTATTAACTCCTGTGTAAGTACATATTAGTTAAGGCCACAATATAAAGTGGGACCAGAAAACAAAATAGTATGGAAGGCAATTAGTGCCAAAAGTTTTTAAACAAAATGTGTACAATTTAACCTTCAACATGTTCAACGTACTGTGAGCATGGAGAGGTGTCAGTTTTAAATGTGCTATGTTATCCGTTCACAGCATAATCACTTCAAGAAAGTGCCTCCATTATGGAAGGCAAGTTGTGCCAAAAGTCTTTAATGGTAATGTGTGAATTTGAGCACCAACATGGACGGTTTGACTTTAATGCAGCAATTTTAAAGCAATTTTTTTGTCTATGTGTC